CTAGAAGCCGACCTTTTTATTGCATTTACCGAATGAAATTTCTATTGTGTTTAAAATAAGTAAGATTGCAAATTAGATTAATTTATTATAACTAATTATATTTTCAACAAATGAACTTTTAATGCTTGCTGCATTTATATGCAATAATAAAATAATTCACACTACATAGTGTAGTATACTTTTATTATGTTTATATACTATGATACAATGTATGATAGTTTGTTGTGTTTAAAATTAAATGTATTAATGTAATAATTTTACAATTCAATATAAATAGTGATATTTTAAATTTGACAATATGTATGTTGTTTAGCAAAAATGATTATAGTAACTTATTAAGTGAAATTTGATTAAATTTTATAATTGAAATGACAATTAAATGTAATTAATATAATAGTAAATGTTAAAACATAAATGTAATCATAATGTGATAAAGAAATGTATGAATTCTATAGCAATTATAATAAATACTTATGAATTTTAACGGATATTTTATGTCTACTTGATATTAAATGTTGATAATTTGTATTGTGATAATTGCTTATTAATTATAAGTCTTAATTAGAGAAGTGACAATATTTTATATTAATATTTATATTTTAAATTTAATTATAAAGTAAAATTAATTGCAATGTAAGAATGTTAACATTTATTATTTTATATACTTTCGTTTTCAATTTTGTGATAAATTAGTTTATAAAGTAGTTTATATTATCAATAAATAAATTTTTTGAAACAATTAACATAATTAAATAATTAGATTAATATTAAAGTAATTGTGTGACAGTAAGATGGGTTAATAAAAAAAACACATAAAATTAACACCGTAATTACTTATTAAAAAAAATTAAACATAAAAATTAAAAAAGACACAGTTAATTTTAAATAATAAAAACATGCTTACAATTAACGTATCATAAAATAAAACAACGAGGCAATTAAAATTAAATATAACTCGATGCCCACAAAACCATACATTTTAGCGTTGAGTCCCAGTCCGTGAATGGCGGTAAGTATCCAGAAAAGGAACCGGCTCACAATGGACACAATAACAATGGCCAAGTAGATGATCGTGCCCATTTTGTCCGCTTTCCAGCCGGCCCAGGCACCTAGGGCGCCATAAACCAAAAATAACAGGCTAACCACAGCCAACGGGCCACCAATAAACGAGCCTGTGTATTGTACCGTATACCACCAATATTTGACACCACCAATCGTACTTGTATATTCAGAATAGTTAATGTTGCCCACGATGAATGCCACGAGTGCGGCGATCATGATCAATATATTGGTGCCAATGAATGAGTACCTGACCAGTATGTTGTTGTCAATTGCCATTTTGTGTTGAATGTTATTTTAATGATGTTAATTATTAATGTTGATTTAATTAGTAAGGTGTGGTTAATAATAATGTGATTCTGGTGGTTTATGTAAATGTTATGTTTATTTTATTTTATTGTAATAATAAATCAGCACACTGCAATTATTAAATTTGATTTATTAATTTTTATTTTTAAACACAACATAAAACAATACGATAATTGTTGAATTTATTTGGCAACTGTTATTATGGACTTTTACTGTTTATATAATACGATTAAGCTAGATTTATGTTTTTGGTGAAATTACATTTATAATTGATCATATATTAATAACAATAATGATAATAAATTTAATTATTACAATAATTATAACATACAAATTGCAAATACTTTTTAATTAATTAATTCATTCACTTTAACCAAAATGAAATAAAAACAACAACATTTAACAAACTAGTGATTTAAGTATACATTTAAGTATTCACTTTAATAGCGTTGTATTTTAAATAGGTATTTTTGAGTATCTGATTATTAATACCACGATCGGTGTATAACAGCCTGTCTTTGGGCACTGGGAGGCCTAATAAGTCAGTCGTTGGCTTATCAAACCAATAAGGGTACTTTACCCACAAGTCTGTACCAGGTAGATTTTTCACTGGTCTCCTTGGCGCTAATGAGTGGCGTACGTTACTATGTATGGTAAAAATGACAAAAACATCATATCGTTCAATATATACAGTTAAGTTCTTATATTACTTATAAAAATGCAATAAAAACATAATGGTTGCTAATAATGATAACATACAGTATATTTCCATAAGTAATAAGCGGTATATTTTGTAAGTCAGCAATTACAATTTATATAGTGATTAGGTTAATTGCCTGTAATTAGAAAGATTATTTATTTTGTAGTGACTGTTTGGGGTTATTTTGTGTGGGTGTTAAATTTTTTCACAAATTGTTTAAGCTGAATATATTATTTTAAAAATGTTGTCGGTTACATAACTGGCATCAACTGTAGCAACATTAAGGTTGTTTTTGTACACAACGTGTAGTAGACAACGTTACATATAAGTTATGGTATTAATATATTAATATAATACACACCCAATCCATAACACAATTCACTGTATGTGCATTACTGATCTGTACCGCGCCTGATATCAAAAGGTATCAAGGTCAATTGCATTTTGCATCTGGCAGGTGCAATACATTTTTTGCTGCTAATTATCATTCAGATTCTCATAAATCTTATTATATATTTTTTGTTTTTATGCAACTTATTTTGTGTTTTAGCTACGTGCAATGTTTGTGTAAATGAAATATTTAATTTGCATGTTTAATATGCATTTAAACTATTAATTATATTATAGATAGTTATGTTACTATTGATGTAATTTAAGACAAACTCGGTTTAATATTTAACAAATTCTGTGAATAATAATATGTTAATTATTTAACAAGATTGTCTTGAAAATAGTCTCATCTAATTAGTTTATCTCAATATAATACTTTGCATTTTACTAATGTTTTTAAAAATATTTTTATTATCATTTAATTATGTTTTGCTATTTTATAAAAAGTAGCTAAAAGTGAGTGAGAGAGAGAGAGAGAGAGAATGTTAGTTAAATTGAATCTATGTCAATGATACTTAAACATACAATCACTCACTTTCTCCCACATTACTAAATATCTTATCATTTGAATAATAAAAAAAGTTTTTAAAAATAAACAACAAAAATGCAAAATAATTTTTGAGAAAAACTCATCGCTTATCAAATAATTGTAAACCTCTCGCAAAACAACCTTATTGTTATAATCTCTCTATGCCAGTGTATCTATGTGTTAAAACAAACTAGTATATTTGTTCAATAATAATTATTATCCTGTTGATTTGTTTTTGTGAGTGTACAAAAATTATTGTAAGTAATATTTGTTAAATTGTTAATATCATTATTCAGCCAATATTTATTTTAATTAATCTATATTGGTTATTTAAAAAATTGCAAATATTTTAATTTACAGTCAATAAGACATAATATTTATTTTCAATATTACTACAAATAATTATTTATTTAAATAGACACTTCACCGGGGTGATAACTAATTATCACATAACTATTATCACTGTTAAAAATCACTGTCCGATATGTCCGACACTGAAGTAGAGGCACCGCCACCGCCGCCCACCCGAGAGGAGCGCAACCGATGGCTGTTTGACTGTAAGCGGTGTTACGGGAAGTTCCCGACCAAACAGGCGCTAAGCGAACACCTGTCCCGACGGCTATTCAAGTGTCCGTTTCGGTGCAAACAGACGTTTGTACACAAGGATGAGCTCAAGACACACGAGAAGGTGTGCGCCAATCGACTCAAAAACAGCTCATTTGATTGCTATAAGATCTATAACATGATGTAAGTAGACATGTATTGTGGGATTGATCGTGGTCAGTTTTATTTGTTTATTAATTTAATTTAGATTGGGAATGTTTAATATAATCTATTTGTGTGCTAGTTGAGTTTTTATGTTTGCTAAATTAATTGTTGATTATTTTTGCCAGTATCTCATAATAATACTAATACTATATCAATTAAAATGCAAATTTTCCATTGCATAATATTTAATTCATAGGTACTTTTACTGATACGATCAATAGTAAATAAATAATTAATTAACTTGTTGATTGCCTATTAATTTAAATATTTTTCTCTGTTTATTACTCCTACACAATCATCTCGTATGCAAAGTAAGCCGAAATACTATGCTTCTCAGTAATAATAATAATGATATGCAAAACACAACATAATAATAATATACATCATAATCCTTTAGACACAGCTTTTTAAGGTTAGTGTCATTTAAAATGTTTAGCACTTTTATTATATGTTTTTGTGATAACATATTATTAAATGAGGAGAGAGAGAGAGAGAGAGAGAGAGAGAGAG